AGAAATGCACTCCTGGATCAGGCCTGGGGCCACAGACACTGGGAGTGAAGGAAGAGCTATGAAGAGCTTCCCACTGCTGCAGGGTGTGAAGGTGTTGCCTGTGGGTTCAGCATAAGGGGGCAAAGACAGACAATGCCTGCTCTGGCACAAAGTCTTGAGGGGAAAGGTAGTCCCTGAATACCGTTTCAACACATCAACTGCAGTGAATTTTTGTGTCCAGTGCCACTGGTATTTCTTGCCTGATTAGAGGCTCCCTAAAATTGAATTCCTCATTCAGATATTCCCTCTGCTGCCCTCCAAACCAGGCGAATGTGACCCTTCGTATTCACTCTTGCATTCACCTGCAAAACTCTGAATTAGCAAAGACAAGTGTCACAGGTGCTCAACATCTCCCATGGCCAAGATTTTTATTTGTTATACCTGTCAGTCAATGACTGCTCTATCTTACTGTGGACAGGCGTATTCCATCCTGCTGATGTCAAAAGCATATCCATCCATTCAGCAATGCTCTATGCCAAGCAATTGCCACTCTGTGGGGAAAGCACAATTTGTCTACATAATTGCACTTGTTTCTGGACAATTGTTGGGTCAGAGGATAACATTTTTTACTTATAGTTGTTCCACATTCATCTGAATTTTCCTGTGCCTTTTCCTACAACAAAGATTTAGATGCTACTTGGCTTCATGCTACAGAAAGGGTACTAGAAACCTGCGAAAAAATACCTGAAAGTAAATCCATTACACTCAGTTGAACAGAATTTTACATTAAGGAGCTAGAGTAGTGCCTCAGATTCAAGGTGTGTTTCTAGGAAAAAAGAAAGTCCACATTAGCTTATTCTTTCCTCATATATGTAACTACCAACCAGAATTCAAATATACTTGCCTGGATGTTATCTTGTCTTTAAAAACTCAAAAAAAAATATATGTTCCCTTTATATCTTAATGTCCATATATTCCAATTCTGAAATTCCCTAAATGAGAAATAATATTTGTTTTCTTTATGATAAGAATTCTTTTTATTTCCATAAGATAATGCATTTAGTATTTTGCCTTTTTGTTATGCTTATTAAATAAACAAATCAACATCTAAGTTTAACACAGTTGTTGCCTTAGGCAAGCCACTATTTTACTTCCTTAACACCTCAAGGGTTTCCAAATAGCCATGTGAAGTAGAGCTGCTTGCTTCATTTTTCATTGTCTTGCTGGCAGCCTGTACAGAAAGTCATGCATCATTTTTTGATACAAGAATGGGTTTTGCTCAAACTATTTTTCTTTTTCTTTTAACCAAGTGCATTTTTTTCAAATTAAATATGTATTTTTATTTTAGATTATCTTTTTATTTAAAATAGGATAATTTAAAATTAAACACGGAATTTTAACAATGTACTACCAAACTTCTTAAGTTCAATAACTTGATTTGCATTAAGTATCATGCAGCATTCACGTATTATATATCTGTTGATAGAGATTTGCTGACCATCAAACTACTGAGCTGGGAGAGTTTAAGTGACTGAAGAAAACAGCCTCTGACAGAAGTGTTTAGTCCAAGTTTGATATCTGTAGCTTCCTCTGCAGGTTCAGAGAAGGTATTTTCTTCACTTTATTCAGGTTAACTTTATGCAATATCTAGTTCATTCAAAGTTATCTCTTGAGAGCTGATAAAGGCAGAAAATCTTACTTTCTACTGTCGGTAAAAACTCCATGGCATAGACTGAAATCTGCTAAATCTAAAATCTTGCAGGGCACAGTAAAGAAAGAAACACATAGTTCTGTTTACACAGTAGAACGAATAGCTAATTTGACTAATAAATCACTTTAATATAAGTAAGAAATAAATATGAAGTAAATGGGAAATGTCATTCATTGGTTTCTAAGATAAAAAGTCAATATCAAGACTCTGAATAAATATATCAGGAAATTTTATGTAATTCTCTAAATGTGACTTAATATATCTCCACCTTTACCAACAGAAGTACCTAATGTAAACAAAGTAGCAGCCAAAATAATCTGTTGTATGACTTTCTCACAACAGTGGAACAGGATTGATTATAGTGATCAAAGACTTTTCACCCATCACCGTTTTGAGCATGGGAATTATGCTGCCAATCAACAATATAGTAAGCAGGGAGAATATGATGTAAAAGGATATTACCCATTCTTTTTTGGGTAATAATGTACTTCCCAATCTAGATTATCAAACAAGTGAGATCAGCCACCATATTATTTACTGCTACACTGTAAAATCAAAATACTTGAATGATACCAACCGAGAGGAACAAACCCTTTTCCAGAAAGCTAATTACAAAGTAAATGCACAAAAGAAAGAAAGTGATGATTTCTTCTGACCCTTTGTGGTTTTTTTTATTTTCAACACACTTTCCTAAAGCAGGGGCACCAAAACACAGCCTACTAGCATCAGACTCATCAACATCAGACTCACAACCAAAGCAACAACCCTCATTCTATGTTACCAGTTTTCTTGCTCAAGTTGCTTATCTGCTGTGATTCCTGAAATATTTCCCTCAAAGATTAGGACCCCCTACAATACAGTTCCTCTTGCTCTCAATGAAGCAAGTATTCTTCAGCCTTAACTCAGTATGTTGTTATACATACATGGACTGAGGTTACCAAGCAACCCAAGTTGTTTGATAGAGCAAGTGGTCCAGACTGTTAGTATTCTTTGCAAATTTCATTGACAATGATATTCTGTCAGCTTCCAGGTTGTCTGAAAAATACTGAAAACATCTAATTGTGAATGTCATTAAAACCTTCTGCAAAAACTCTCCCTCAATTGCGACTTGTCTTGCCTGGTGTTTTCTGTGATGTGCTCATTTAACATGTCTCCATTGATATTTTGTAGAGTTAATGTTATAATATTGAATAGATGGAAGTAAACTCTAATAAATACTTTGCTGGTAATACTGTAGAGCTAAGGTAGCTGAAAGGTACTGTGGTCAGAGGTGAGGGATTTGTGTTCCAATATTACTTAGTAGAAGAGGGGATTGACCCTCTGACTATTACAATGCTATAATACAAAATAAAAGGAGATTTGACCATCACTACTTCTACATATGCTGTGAATCTGCCTATCCTTCTCTTTTCTGTTTTGTAGCATCTTCCTCAAACCACAACGTTGCTAATGAAAATGAAATAATCAGTCTAAATAGAAAGGGACCCTTTTCTTTGAAATGTGCCCCCTCTCCCACTCCATCCATCTCAAAATGAAACCCTCCCTTTTCTCCACTTAGATTGACTTATTTATTATTTATTTCCTGGGTTGATGAACTCATAAATCAGTTTCATGCAGAGTCCTGACATGCTTAACGCCACAGAGATTCAGTAATTCAATTATTAGGCTTGAATTCATTGTGTCAAACAGTCTCAACTTCCTTACGGTCTGCTTTTCATGGTAAACAGGACAGAGCTTCAAAACTGCGTCTTAGAGACAAATCCAAGAAGAATTGAAGCTCTCGGCTCTAGCCTGTCTGTCCTCCTAGTAAAATCCAAGTGAATGGTCAATTAGGTACATATAGAACGTTGTATTGTTATGTATATCTCTGACATGTTATGGTCCTGACAGGAAAGTGAACCAACAGAAGGGCAGACAGGTAGATCACTTAGTAACAAGTGATATATTCAGTACATCTGCTTTCTGAGGAGAGAAATCGAAGTCATGACCCTGTGATCCTTTCAGAACCCAAATAAGACTCAAAACTTTGACTGTGTGCTTATAGCAAAAAAACCCTGAAAAGCAACCAAGCAAGCAATAGGAAAGAAGGAAGCTGTTTTTGCACTGGTAAAAATAACAGAAATTGAGAAAAATTTTACAATTCCTTCCATAGAATGTGAAATTTCATGTGTTCAATATTTTTATTTCTGTGAACAGTTATTAAATAGTGCGTATTTTTTACATCTCTTTTTTCTTCTTTTATAACAAATAATACATCAGAAGTCTTTTGTTTTGGAGACTACTACTAGATAGACCTGCTTAATTGTGATATACTGTATGAATTACATTCAATGTATTATCTTCTTCTTTATCTCAGAAATATGCAGTGGCAAAAAAAGACAATGTCCTAAAATTTCAATACCTATCATCCAAAGGGTAATCAAATAGGATTGTCAAAGCTGAATCAACCTGTAGCCAGGCAATGCATTTCATAAAATCTGTTAGCTTCATAGAAGTGGAATATATTCCAACAAGAAGCAAATAACATAATATTTAATGTAGCTGTATGAAACTGCAAAAAAAGATGCAGTTTAGTAGTGATATGAGAATCTTCATTGCTATTTTGGAGGAGCAGTCTCTGGATGTATAAGATCCCTCACTTAAGAAGTTAGGATGAGTGGACTCCATTGTTTAGAAATAGTTTTGTGTTTTAAAGTGTAGTTTCTTATCAAAGTTAAACTTTATGAACAGGAAAACCTAAATTTTAGTAAGTTCTGAAGCTCTCCTTCAGCAGGTCCTGAATGGAAAGGAGCTTTCTGTTCCTCTTAGTAAGGATCCTCTTTCCCCCGCTTCCAATGCAAGGTTTTTTCCCTCTCCACTTTTTCCTATCCTACCAGTCCTTCTAATACTCTTTCCTCTAACTGTAGAGGCTATCCTCAGACACTGTTATTTGCAGCAGTTTCCAAATTCTTCCAGCTTCCTTTCCCTAAGTCCAGTAAGGACTTCCAAATTGTTAAATAAGTTTATTTTTTCCTGCAGAAAAGAGGTTTTTAGCAGGCAAATCCCCAAAACATCCAGAAATATGACTATAGTCCCACTGACATTACAAGTTGGAATAATTAGATGAGTCAGTGCTTTATCTGAATTATATCTGTAATATTGATAAGTTTCATTCTAGCTGGGAAAGTTTAAGGGCAGTTCCATACTGTGCAATTTGCAGTCGTATTTACTTGGCCCAGAAAATAAATATGGTAGTCTGTATAATAAATTCAAGGATAAAATACAAGTCAGAAATACCAGGGAGAAAACAAAACTGAGAATGAAAAACTTACTTGTCAGGAGACCAGTGATATTTTAAAAAATGCCGTCGTCGGTCAGTTTTTGTAGTCACTCTGAGGTCTCAAGATATCTAAGAGTGTTGAATATGTTCTGAAAAGAAGAAGAATCAAGGATTTAGTAATTTCATCACGTATCAAATGCTAAAAAAAACCTGTCCAAAATAGATTATTTTTCCATATTATGAGGTTATTAATTCATAGAATATGTTTTGATTTCACCACTGAATCTGTAGTGAGTTTATGAGCTTCCAGAAGTTGAACTGCTCAGATCAAACTTCCTGCAGCGCACAGGGAATCAGAACAATGAGAAGAGTAATTATTTAATTTATCCTCTTGCATACCTACATTCCCAAGCTCTTCTAGCTGAGAGAGAAAATTGAAAATGAAAGAAGTCTTCTTGCTCCGTTCTGTTTTAATAAACCAATATAGGGGAGTAAATGACTTTCCAAAGCAAGCAGATAAAATCATGTCCCTAAATGTCTTTCAAACAATTGACTAGTGTTCCTTGTCTATCTTTTGGACTAGTTCATCTATTTGGCCTCCTGATTCGTAATCTAGTAGATGCAGATGTCTCTTTGTACTCACAATGCTATTCTGCATTAAAGTCTAGCTTTGTAATTTCCAGTTGTCCTTAAAAGACAGGGCAGTTTGAGTCAAGGAATCATCTCAGCTCTCTGAAGCAAAATGAAAGACTGGGAGCTGACCAGTGCTTCGATCTGTGCAGACTGTGGAGGGAGGAGGTAGCGGAGTTGGAAATTAAAGAGTGGAGTTGAGTCTGGGAAAAAGAAGGGTTAGAGGAAAAGTGGTTTTAGTGTTGTCTTTGTTTCTCACTTTCCTAATTTATTTTTAATTGGCAAAAATTAAATTAATTTCCCCCAAATTGAGTCTGGATTTTCTTACTCTGAAGCCAGACAAGACCTAGAAAACAAGTAGAGAGCTAAAATCTAAGCAGAATATAGGAATATAAGCAGAATATAGGAATATAAGCAGGATATAAAAATATGAGTATAAATGAGAGCACAAAGAGCCTTGCCAAAACTTAGCTAGGATGCACTGCCAGTACTTAGAGGTTAGATGGTACTGCACACTGAAAGAGTGCACACACACCCCCAACCTGAGTAAGATAAGGGGGCAAAATAGGACTTGAGTCCAAGAATCTTGCAAAATACACCATTAAGCCTGACAAAATCAAGAAAGTTGAAAAGTTCAGCCGAGGAAGTGGAGTAAAAACGACCACCAAAGGATGAAGAAACAGGAACGACCCTCCTGAATTCTCCCAAAATTGAAGACCACGCCCCTGACTCCGCCTAGACTCCACCTATTATGAATATTATAATCAGAAGTTGCAATTATATGAATATTTATGTAAACATGTTGCAATCACCTGTAAAAATGGTATAAAAACCTGTAAATTCACTGCAGAGGCAGAGCAGTTTTGTCCAGTGCGAGCTGGCTGCTCTCCAATGTTGCTCAATAAACATACCTCGCTGCTTAAAGACTAAAAATTGTCTCTGAACAGTTTTCTGCGCCTTTTTGGGGGCAAAATTGGCATCAACTCAAGATGTTAATCAGTGAGTTATTTCCTTGTCTTTATTTCAATCCATAAGATTTTCTATCATATTTTCTCCCCATGTTCTGCTGAGAAGAGGAAGTGAGATGGGTGAAGTGCTGGGTGTGCTGGAAGTGATGTGTGGGTGCCTGGCTGCTGGCCAAGGTCAGTCCACCACAGCTATAAAATAATGTTTCCATCGCCGATCTTTCCAAGATACCCAGGACTGAGACTGGAATGGAAAACAAATCCATACAAATAAAACTCTGTCTATAACACACAGGAATAAAAGAATTAGTAAGGAACAGAACTGTTTCTCAGAGAAAACTACAGTAGCAGGAAAAATTCATAGACCTCTAGCTTCTGTAATGCAGTCACAAATTTGAAAACAAGAGCTTACATTAACAAGGATCAAGTCAAATGACTCATACTCGATGAAAGGAGAGTGCTGAAAACCTAATTTGAAAAAGAGCTCTGCTTGTGATATGATACTGAGGTCTCTTTGGTCTGTTAAGGAATTTTTGAAATATAACATAGTAAGTGTTTAAAGATGAAACTGATCAACTTGCAGTAATATATTTATTCTGCCAACACTGATTTTAGAAACAATTACTTAAAGTTCTTTCACAGTTGTTTTAACAGTCTTGAAGTGATTTATTTAATTCCAGATTACATTAAGCTCCAGAACTCCATTTTAGCAATTGTGATACTGATCTTACATTTCATCTATGAAAAAGATTGAAGTGCTATGCATCTCTACCTGATATTGCAGGCTATGGGATGAAATATCTATCACCTTAGTACTGTAAAGGGTTATGCATTTGTTTGGATTCCATTGGTTTTGATCAGGATACGCCTTATAGTGGCAAAATTAGCAACACTCCCTCTAAATCTCATTGAATGAATTCTTTCCTGAATGAATTTCTTGTTAGAATTCATATTCTGTTAAAATAATCAACAACCGACTAAAAAGACGAGATCCATGGCAAACATTCACACTGCCTCACATACTTGTGAGAAACTTCTGGTATAATAAAACCTAGAAAAATAAAAATTGCTAGTAGAACTGAGCAACTATTAAATTGTCTCAACAATCTCCTGTTTACAGCCTAACAACTCTTGTAATTTAGCTGTATTTTCAAGGCTAAATAACTAAGGTCCCATATTTGTACAGTGGGAAGTTTGTAAACACACAGTGAAATTAACTGGTAGTTGGGAAAGAGAACTTGGAAATAGCCTTACGAAAATGTCACCTAAATCCTCATCAACTGTCAAAAATTCAAATGGTATATTAGGAAATATTAGGAATAGAACAGAAAACAGCAGAAGGAACATGATAATGCTGCCATAAAAATCCATTGCCCACCTAACATTTTAAATATTGAATATGGTTCCAGTCATCTCAAAAATGACAGGATAGCAATAGAAGGATAAAGAAAAGGGTGACAGGATGATCAAAGGTATGTAATGGCTTCTGTACTAGGAAAGGAAAAAGAAAGGCTTTAGGATTTTCATATGGAAGAGGGACAAATGAGGGAAAGAACTGTGACAGAGCCTCAGGAAAATCATGAACAGAGCTAAGGAAGGGAATAAAGAATGTTATTCACTGTATTTCATACCACAGGAAGCAGTCACAATAAAATGAGCAGTTAGCAAATTTAAAATATGAAACCCAAGAAAGGATGCTTTCCACAAAGATCATAATTAAAGGGTGGAACTCATGGCCACAGGATGTGGTGGATACCACATACATGTATAGGCTTCAAGAAACAATTCACTGTGGTGGTAAAAGAAACATTGACCAGTACTAATCTGTATTTTACACAAAGGTACATAGTATAAACCTTGAGGTTAAGAAGCATTATGGACTGCTCTAGGATGATACCATGAGAGGTTGTCGTTTGGTCTGATTTAAATACAGCTGTTGCAGTGTCCTTATTATTGAGTTCTTAGTAATTTCTTTCTACAGGCAGATGTTAGAGAGTGTTAGTGCAAATATGTGATTTAAGATTTGTATAAACATCCAGCCCTCTACAGAGGGGCTAACATACCATTTTAAGTTCAAATTGTTCAGCCTACTCAGGCATGCAGGTTTAGGCTAGGGTTTTCTGAGGATCCTCAGGTCTGGCATCCAACTGCTACTGAAGACTAAAGGGATTGATACACAAAACTGTCATTTTATGGAAATAAGTAATGATACTGACTTTTCTCCCCTCAGAAAAGAAGTATACAATCTTTCTTTTGTAATTAATGATCTTCATCTTAACTGTTTCATCTGTCTCATGATGGGAGGAATAGAGACAGATTTTTCCAGACAAATACATAGGCACAGGACATGTGAAATTGTCACTTTTCACTTATTGTGGTGATAAAATACCATTATGTTACTGAATAAGCAAGGTTGCTTAACTTTGTATCCATCGTCTGTTCATCTGATGCAGATTCATTAAAGACTTTGCCCTGCTAACTGTCATGCTACAAGTAAAGGGCTTGCCAGTTCCACTATGGGAGGGCCGATGCTTCCTGTCAGATAAAAGGCCATGTTCAGGAATTGCTTTTAGAACACTGTGAAGGAAATGCTCTGATTGACCTTGGCTGACTAGATCTCTGCTTGTGCAGGTGGCAACTCAGTTGTGAGGCATGTGTGCCCAGAGTCTTGGTTGCCCAGATCACTTACCTTGGTTGCTATCACTATTCCCTCCTACTACCTCCCCATGTTATTTTTCATTGAAAACCAGCATGTGAGAGGAGGGATGGGGCATAGCTTCTGTATCCCAAGTTGCCGGAAAGTGAACCAGGATTTGGGCCTGAGGAGGATTTTCTTCCGGTACTTTCATAATGGTTACTCAATGTCTGTTCAGGGTGAAAAATGTTTGTCCTAAAATGTTAAATGTCCTGAAAGCTGAATGTGTCATGCTAGCCTAAACTGACTTGGTATTTTGGTCACTGTTGTATGTGGCATACTGGCTTAGGTAGATGAATTGTTTGACCTAATACAGACATTTTTAGTTACTCATTTATGCAAGATACCAAAACACTAAAAGATTATAGCAGGTCTGTATGGAGTATTATTATAACTATCATTTTTTTTTTATTTCTAAAACTGTGGATGGTCTTGTAAGGTCTCCAGAAATAAAACCCTTCATTTATTCTAATTACCCTAGAATGTGAAGTTGCAGAGGGGTACCAGAAAATACCAAAAACTCAGAATTTTCTGCCCTCAAAAATTTTCTTGCACACTAGCTGGAGTGATTCCTAAGAGCCTTGACCAAAAAAGGGAAACTAGACTGAAGAGATATTGCAGAAGAAAGCTACTTCTGACTACCCACACTGGAATAGTGACTATCCTTGAAATTCGTACTCTATACTGAGAAATGGTAACCATTCACAATTGATGGGAAACAAATGAGTTTTATGTACAAGTAAGTGTGTCTGCAAAAGTTTCTTCAACAGTTTACCTCAATTAACATGAAATCGTTATTTTGTCCAAGCCAAAAGACACTCTTATGCAGGCATGTACTTACTCCAATGCCTGGCCACTC